TAGTAAAAAAATTTGGATTTCACCACTGCCCAGGATGTGTCATCAATCACATTTGCCAACAGAGCAATTTCGCGGGTTGTAGAGATCACTCCCCTCCGGCCGCTATGGGTAACTCTGGGAGACAACCTTGAGAGAGATAAGTCTGGAATGTGCATCTGTCTTTGGCTGCTATGCTGTTTCATCAGTTTCCCATCCCCGCTTGGCTATGGCAACTCGAGAGCAGGCCAGGGATGCTTTGCGAGTTGACAGATACAAGCAACAAGATTATAGCCATAAGTAGAAAAGGAGATAGGTAATAGGAAGGATGAGAAGAATAATAGTAATACAATCTTAGTAAATAGTTTGGCAGTGTTGTTGGAATTACTTGTTTAGCAGAGTGATGGCCTGGGGAAAAAACTGTCCTTGATATCAATGATATGAGTATTTGAGTTGCTGTCATAGAGAAGATGGGCTCAACCTACTCTTTAAAACACTTGAGGGCAGAACAGGAAGTAATGGGTAGAAGATTATAAAAGAGAGATCCAATCTAGAAATAAGGAGAAATTATGAAGTTGTGGGTGCGCCTTCTCTCTGGGTTTTTAAGAAGAGAGTGGACAGCCATTTGTTTGACAGGCTTAAGGGCCTCTTGCTTGAGCAGGAGGTTGGACTAGTAGACTTCCAAGGTCTTTTCCAACTCTTATTCACATTCTGTATTTAATTCTCCTCCATAGTCACAGAAGCAGAGTAGAATCAGTGAAAACTTACACTGTTGACCATTCCCCTAGCATCTTCCTAACCCCTGTCCTGATGCTGAATTTCTGTTGCTAAGGAAGGCAGTTGTTAAGGTGTCTTTTGCCCCATTCTGCGACCTTTCTTGCCGCAGTTGTTAAAGGAATCCTTGCAGTTGTTAAGTTAGTAACATGATTGTGAAGTGAATCTGGCTTCCCCATTGACTTTGCCTGTCAGAAGGTCACAAAAGGAGATCACGTGATCCTGGGACACGGCAACCGTCATAAATACATGCCAGCTGCCAAGTGCCTGCATTTTGATCATGTGACCATGGGGTTGCTACAACTGTTGTAAGTGTGAAAAACGGTCTCTTTTTCCAGTGCTGTTGTTAACGTCGAATGGTCACCAAATGAATAGGGTAGGGTAGGGTAGGGTAGGGTAGGGTAGGGTAGGGTAGAATAGAATAGAATAGAATAGAATAGAATAGAATAGAATAGAATAGAATAGAATAGAATAGGGTCAGGGTCAGGGTCAGAGTCAGGGTCAGGGTCAGGGTCAGGGTCAGGGTCAGGGTAGAATAGAGTTAGGGTTAGGGTCAGGGTTAGGGTTAGGGTTAGGGTAGAATAGGATAGAGTCAGGGTTAGGGTTAGGGTAGAATAGAGTTAGGGTTAGGGTAGAATAGAATAGAGTCGGTTAGGGTTAGGGTAGGGTAGGGTAGGGTAGAATAGAATAGAATAGAGTTAGGGTTAGGTTAGGGTTAGGGTTAGGGTTAGAGTAGAATAGAATAGAGTCAGGGTTAGGGTTAGGGTTAGGGTTAGGGTTAGGGTTAGGGTTAGGGTTAGGATAGAATAGAATAGAATAGAATAGAATAGAATAGAATAGAATAGAATAGAATAGAATAGAATAGAATAGAATAGAATATGGTTAGGGTTAGGGTTAGGGTTAGGGTTAGGGTTAGGATAGAATAGAATAGAATAGAATAGAATAGAATAGAATAGAATATGGTTAGGGTTAGGGTTAGGGTTAGGGTTAGGGTAGAATAGAGTTAGGGAATAGAATAGAATAGAATAGAATAGAATAGAATAGAATAGAATAGAATAGAATAGAATAGAATAGAATAGAATAGAACTTTATTGTCACTTTAAATGTCCACTAGTCAGCAAACATTAAAATGAAATTTTGTTGCATTCAGCTCTCAAAAGATATCCATTATGCATATACCCCCACAAATACATATATGACATAGATATACTGTATATGGTTATAAGTCGATTACCTGTACACAAATAAGGCAAAATGAATTGTCTATGGAGATTCTCAATCATTCAGATTGTCCCAACCTTTTTCAAGAGGTTGAAGAAACTTCTTGGATGAGAAGCGAAACATCTTCAAAGAAAAAATCAGAAAGTCCAGTTGCCTCTTGAAAAAAACAGCAACATTCATCAGACTGGGTTTGAATAATCAGCATAAATTGTTCTAATCCTACTAGTCTCCGAGGATGACAAGGGTATTTTTGGGTTGTGGAAGTCGTGCGTGTTGACCCGCTGAGATTTGTACTGAGCCTCTCAAGGTTGCCTGGCATTGCCTGCCTGCTGTGTTTTGGAATGTGTTCTCCTAAGTTGTCATTTTAAAAAAAATGGATGGGATATTTGGCTTACATTTTTTTGTCTTTGGAAGCAAACTGAGTTTCTCCAACAATGGAATAGTTAAGACCTGACGCCAGCTCTCTAGTTGAGGACTTCTCAAATCTCAGCAACTTTAAGATGCGTAGACAGGGGGGCTATTCAGCAGGTTCTGACAGGTTCTGGAGAACCGGTAGCAGAAATTTTGATAGTTCGGAGAACTGGCAACTACCACCTCTGGCTGGCCCCAGAGTGGGGTGGGAATGGAGATTTTGCAATATCCTTCCCCCAGGAGTGGAGAGAGAATGGGGATTTTGCAGAATCCTTCCCCTGGAGTGGGGTGGGAATGGAAATTTTGCAATATCCTTCCCCCAGGAGTGGAGAGAGAATGGGGATTTTGCAGAATCCTTCCCCTGGAGTGGGGTGGGAATGGAAATTTTGCAATATCCTTCCCCCAGAAATGGGGAGGGAATGGGGATTTTGCAGTATCCTTCCCCTGCCACCCCCACCAAGCCACGCCCACCAAGCCGCACCCACAGAACCGGTAGTAAAAAAATTTGAATTCCACCACTGTGTGTTGACTACAACTCTCAGAATTATCTAGCCAGCATGAAGTCCACACCTCCTAAGGTTGTTGAGGTTGGGAGAAATCCTGAGCTAGCTTTCTGTCCGATCAATTGGATGATGTCCATAAATTGGCAGTCTCTCCCTTGGGCAGGTCATTGATCCTTCATTGGCTTCTTTTGCAGATAGGAATCTAATTGGTCTGATAGGTGCAATCTTCTGGTATTATTGATTGGCCTTTTGAAGGAACCTCTCAGGACGTTCATAACTGGTGAGATTATTGACCTGGAGTTGAATGAACTGTAAACTTTCCCCTTCCTGAAGACATCTGCTGAAGGAGATAGAGAAAGCAATTGCATTCTTTTCAACTTTGCTATCTTTGCCGGGTGGGAGATGAACACATCAACACAATGATTAGGGGACTGGAGGCTAAAACATATGAAGAACGGTTGCTGAAATTGGGTATGTCTAGTTTAATGAAAAGAAGGACTAGGTGAACTACATGATAGCAGTCTTCCAATATCTCAGGGGCTGCCACAAAGAAGAGGGAGTCAAGCTATTCTCCAAAGCTCCTGAGGGTAAGACAAGAAGCAATGGGTGGAAACCAATCAAGGAGAGAAGCAACTTAGAACTAAGGAGAAATTTCCTGACAGTTAGAACAATTAATCAGTGGAATAACTTGCCTCCAGAAGTTGTGAATGCTCCAATATTGGAAGTTTTTAAGAAGATGTTGGATAACCATTTGTCTGAAGGTGGTGTAGGGTTTCCTGTCTGAGTAGGAGGTTGGACTAGAAGACCTCCAAGGTCCCTTCCAACTCTGTTATTCTATTCTATTCTATTCTATTCTATTCTATTCTATTCTATTCTATTCTATTCTATTCTATTCTATTCTATTCTATTCTATTCTATTAATATCTCTCCCAGCTTTTGAGAAATTTCCTAGTTCCTAAAGAATTGGCCAAGTCCATTTCGCCAAAAATATATCAGTGTTGTCACGTAGCTCAAGTAAATAGGAAGATGCTGGAACTCAGTTCTTGGGAAATCTCAGTTCTTGGGAAATCTTGAGAAATGTAAGGTCCTAAGTTTGAAGTAAAATATCTGGAGTAAATGGCCTAAGATTGGAAAATCTTTGCTTCAGACGCAGGTTTTCTGTTGCTTATCAGAATATAGATAACCCTTGATTTATGACCACAATTGAGCTCCAAATTTCTGTTGCTAAGGGAGACAAGTTAAATGAGTGTTGCCTCATTTTACGACCTTTCTTACCACAGTTGTTAAGTGAATCACTGCAATTGTTAAGTTAGTAACATGGTTGCTAAGGGAATCTGGCTTCCCCGTTGACTTTGCTTGTCGGAAGGTTGCGAAAGGAGATCACATGACACTGGCACACTGCAACAGTCATAAATCTGAGTCAGTTGTCAAACATCTCAGTGTAAATCATGTGACCATGGGGATGCTGCAACGGTCATAATAAGTGAAAAATGGTCCCAAGTTACTTTTTTCAATGGTGTTGCAACTTTGAACAGTCACTAAGCGGACTGCTGTAAGCCGAGGACTACCTGTATAATGCAGTTCACATAAATCTGGGCATGTACTGGTAGTCCTTGTCTTATGATCACAATTGAGCCCAAAATTTATCTCGTTAAGTGAGACATTGATTAAGTCACTAAATGAAGAATTGTAAGTCGAGGACGAGCTGTAGCAAATAACGGAAAAGACAAGAGGGGAAAGAAACAAGTATTTCCACTTATTTTTAGAAAGAGTGGCTCCACCTCTTGTTTGCTTCAGCCCTCTCCATTAGTATTTCTCAAAATATTACTGAGGGAATATTCTTGCATCCAGAAAATATAGTTGCCTTCCCAGTAGACTTAGGCTCTCTGCTGGTGTGAGTCATCTATGAAATCTTGCATTAATCTTGCAATTTTTTCACTTGACTTGACCAAAATGAAACTCTTTCGGGCCAACAATGGAGCTTTCTACAGTTTTAGGTGCAGAATTTAGTCATTGCTGGTCACTGCGGAAGATCTGTTAATGCGGGACTCGTATTTGACTGAAAAATGAGGCCCATTTCGTCCTAATGGTTGTATCTCTTCTGTCTTCCTGCAGAACATGGCCAGTGTCTCCTCCTTTGGCAAGTACACCCACGCCATCGTCCGCTGCATTCCTTCTTCCTTTGCCACAGCGGAGACCACAGCGGATGGATCTGACAGCGGGGCTGATCCGGTGGATCTAGCCAAGGCTCACCGACAGTACGGGGTCTATACTGGCATACTGCGGCAGAAGCTAGGGCTGCAAGTCATTGAACTGGCGGCAGACGAAGGCTTCCCCTATGCCACACTGGTGGGGGATCTGGCAGTCATCCAGGGAGATACTGTGCTCCTCACTCGGCCATGGATGCCCACGCGGCGAGACGAGGTAACATTTATATATGGCTAATATCAAATTTAAATCTGTAAAGGATGTTGGTTCTCTTGCAGATACATTGCTGAGGGGGAAGTTTTTCTTTGAGAATGCATTTGCTTTCTCAATGGCTTGGAGGCTGTTGTGAAGTGTCATTAGCAACCAGACAAAAAGTCTCGTACAAATTTGTTTGGGAGTATAAATGTTTCACTTAGGTTTATGAAGCAGGCATTCGGTCAGGGGTGGGTTCTACTTACCTTTACTACCAGTTCGCAACGGGGCCGCACACATGCGCAGAAGCTTCCTGATGATGTCCGGGTCAGTGGGAGGAGCCTCCCGCCGTTTTTACTACCAGTTCTTACAAACCAGTCCGAACCAGGGGGGCAACCCACCACTGCATTCGGTAACCTCTTGCCCGTGGAAGGTTTCATATTTTTTTTTTTTGTATATAATTTCTATGAAGATTTGGATTGCAGTAGTAAAAACCGATACAAACTAAACTTAAATAAAAAGAAGCGATTAGAAAGAAGAAAAAGGGCAAGAAAAAAAGAATAGAATAGAATAGAATAGAATAGAATAGAATAGAATAGAATAGAATAGAATAGAATAGAATAGAATAGAATAGAATAGAATTCTTTATTGGCCAAGTGTGATTGGACACACAAGAAATTTGTCTCTGGTGCATAAGCTCTCACTGTACATAAAATCTATAAGTGATAAGTCATGATCATAGTAATCATAAAAATACATTCGTCATAAATCATAAGATACAACACTTAGTGATAGTCATAGGATACTAAATAAGCAATCAACATAAATCATGCTAAGAAAGTGCGCAGGAGGTGGGGCACATGCAGGGGAGCGTGTGTGCATGCGTTGGGGTGGGCCGTGTGCATGGGGCGGGGTGTGTGCGGGGGCACACGCGCAAGCATGGAGATGCATGCATGGGGGGCATTTGCGCATTGAATTTTGGGGGGTCTGGGTTTCGGTGTGCACACATGTGCGCTTTGGGCACTCATTCCAGAAAAAGTTAGCCATCACTGCCCTATAGCGGCGTTTTGAGGGTAGAAGTTGAGACAATTTATGTCCAGGATGTGAGGGGTCTGTAGATATTTTCACAGTCCTCTTTTTGACTTGTGCAGTATACAGGTCCTCAATGGAAAGCAGGTTGGTAGCAATATATAGTATATTTTGAATATAAATTAAAGAAGCGACTTTCAGGCTTTATTACAGGTACAGAATTTTCAGTAACTCGTCATTTTCATTAGGTTAGAAATAAGATTTCATGGTTAAGTTTATAAACTCTTCATAAAGCTCGTAAACTTCCTAAAGTTAGAAACAGATATCTCTTCATCTCACATCCCATCCTTTATCGATAAGCATAAATCGTCAACTTTTAAAGTATTTAAAGTATAGTTAAATTTACTTCTTTAAATTATTTTAACCTTGATCAAATAAACCAACTTTATACTCTTTCCTTCTAACAATTTTAACCTTTAGTTCATGCTAATATTGTCGTAGAAACCAGCAAGGTTTTGTTCTTGAAAAACCTCACAGCTGGATAATTCGTGGTTGCTAAACTTAGGAACACAGGGGAAAAAAATGTGTCAGCAAAACTAAGACCTGATTTAACCTATTAAATTATCTCAACTATTTTTTTTTTATTTGTAGCAAACTTTGTTTTTGTTTTGTTTTTTTTAAAAAATCAAAGTAAGCAAACACCAGTAAAAGAACTGCAGTTCATATTTTGCAACGTTGCCTTTACCGATGTTGCCTTTTTAATATTTCCCCTAGGAAATTGCTATCACATCCATGCAAGCAGTTTGTGGTTTTTTTTCATCTCAGGAGAGATGGAGATAAGCACCTCTGATTTAATTGTTTTTCAGTTCACCTCCATGGTGAGCAAATGTATCTGTACTCGGGCTTACCTGTTGTGAAAAGAACCATCACACCTGCTTAAGGCTCTTTCATGGGTTTTCCTTGACCCTATAGTTTAAGGGATCATATAAGACAAGTTGTATATAGAAAATGTCTTGCAGGTCCTCAATGATGCATATAGTCAACTGATGTACAGTGTGAATTGTGTTACTGGTGTTACTAGCAAAATGATCCCTAAAAAGCTGGGACAAGTTTTACTACTGTAGTAACTTACAGTAGACTCACTGGAGAAGAGCCTGATGCTGGGAAAGATTGAGGGCAAAAGAAGAAGGGGACGGCAAAGAACGAGGTGGCTGGATGGAGTCACTGAAGCAGTCGGCGTGAGCTTAAATGGACTCCAGAGGATGGTAGAGGACAGGAAGGCCTGGAGGAACGTTGTCCATGGGGTCGCGATGGGTCAGACACGACTTCGCAAATAACAACAACAACAAACTTACTACAGTACTAAAACTTGTTCCAGCCTATCAGGGATCGTTTTGCTAGTAAGCTCTATTGAGGTACAGGTAGTCCTTGACTTACGACCACAATTGAGCCCAACATTTCTGTTGTTAAGCGAGACATTTGTTAAGTGAATTTTGCCCCATTTTATCACTTTTCCTTAAATGAATAGTTGTTAAGTTAGTAACCCAGTTGTTAAGTGAATCTGGCTTCCTCATTGACTTTGCTTGTCCGAAGGTCGCAAAAGGGGATCACCTAGCCCTGTGGGACACTGCAACCGTCATAAATATGAGTCCGTTGCCAAGAGTCTGGATGTTGATCACGTGACCACGGGCATGCTGCAACGGTGTGAAAAACAGTGATAAGTCACTTTTTTCAGGGTTGTTGTAACTCCGAACGGTCACTAAATGAACTGTTGTAAGCTGAGGACTCCCTGTAGTCAGGAGCCACTGTGATAGAGCGGTGATGAAAGCACTTATTCTGTTGCCTTATTCTCGTAGAGTTCTGCTTTTACAGGAAGACAGTGTTTAGTGTGGGGGGGTTTCTCCATTGTGTGCCCTCCAAATGTTTCAGACAAGATAGAAAAATCTCATTGAAATCAAGCTGAGCTCCTGGTGGTTTCATGGGCATCCCATCTGGTTCACTTGGCATCCACAGATGAGCATCCTGCCTTTGCTTTCTTCCCCATTTAGAGTAGAATAGAATAACAGAGTTGGAAGGGACCTTGGAGGTCTTCTAGTCCAACCCCGTGCTTAGGCAGGAAACGCTATACCATTTCAGACAAATGGTTATCCAATCTCTTCTTAAAAACCTCCAGTGTTGGAGCATTTACAACTTCTGGAGGCAAGTTGTTCCACTGGTTTTTTTGTTCTAACTGTCAGGAAATTTCTCCTTATTTTTAAATTGGTTCTCTCCTTGATTAGTTTCCATCCATTGCTTCTTGTCCTACCCTCAGGTGCTTTGGAGAATAGTTTGACTCCCTCTTCTTTGTGGCAGCCCCTGAGATATTGAAATACTATTATCATGTCTCCCCTAGTCCTTCTCTTCATTAAAATAGACATACCCAGTTCCAGCAACCGTTCTTCATATGTTTTAGCCTCCAGTCCCCTAATCAATGTTGTTGCTCTTCTCTGCCCTCTTTCTAGAATCCTGGCATTCTTTGCTTGCCTTCCACAAAATTTCAGAGTCACCCTTGCTTAGCTTTCTGAGTACCCAAGTAGGAGAAGTGTGGTAGCCGGGAGGACCTCTCTTGTATAGCATATTTCACACTTTATACCATGTGAATGCACCTACACGCCTTTCCTGTTTCTTTGTATGTCTCTTGTTCCCCGAAGGGAAGCTGTGCAATTGGACAACATTTCTTGTATTCTGATTCAGGGGTAGAACAGACAAGAGGGTAGTGGTACTGCCAACTTGGTGGATGCTTTAGATGGGCATCTTACCGGAGGTTTTCAAAAATAGATTGGACAGCCATTTGACTTAGAATGGGGGGCGTTTGACCAGGGGGGCGTTTGCCCAGGTTTCCCATCCCCAGTTGCGCCCCTATTTGGACCACAGTTACTCATGCGCTAGTCACCTCCCGTATTGACTACTGCAATGCTCTCTACTTGGGGCTGCCGTTGAAGACCACTCGGAGGCTTCAGCTGGTACAGAATGCGGCCGCGCGGGTTGTGATGGGAGGATCCTGATACTCCCATGTTATACCTCTCCTGCGCGACTTGCATTGGTTGCCGGTTGCCCTCCGGGTGAGATTCAAGGTGCTGGTGATGATCTATAAAGCCCTACATGGCTTAGGCCCAGTATATTTGTCGGACCATCTGCAACCAGCAACAGCTTCCGATCGCTCGGTGCGTTCTCACAGGGAGGGCCTACTCAGGGTGCCGTCGGCTAGACAATGTCGGCTGGCGGCCCCCAGAGGTAGAGCTTTCTCTGTGGGCACGCCCACCCTTTGGAATCAACTCCCCCTGGGGCTTCGGTTGGCCCCTGACCTTAGCACATTCCGCCGCGAACTAAAGACATGGCTGTTTAAATTGCCCAGCCTGGACTGATGGGGTTTTGATTATTTTAATGAGTTTTAACATACGTTTAATTTGTATTTTAATATGTTTTTATCTGGTTTGATTTTAATTGTTGTGAGCCGTCCTGAGTCCTATGGAGATAGGGCGGCCTACAAATCAAATTAAATAAATAAAACAAATAAATAAACCTAGACTTAGAATAACTGTATTGTCACTTTGAATGTACACTAACCGGCATACATTAAAATGGAATTTCGTTGCATACGGCTCTCAAAGGGTCTCCACCCCTAATAACACTGAAGGGACATAATAATAATAGAATAGGTAGAATTAGTGGGACATAATAGTAGAGTCAGAAGAATTGATTTGACTTGCTGTTTTGCTTCTGTAAGAATTGCTTTGCTAAGAATTGGAATTGCCTCTGCCATTTGCTTCTACTATCTTCTGCTATCTTGTTTTTCGTACAACTCCGTGCCTGGTGGATATCTCAAGAAGCGGGGTATATCATGGTTTGGCAGTGTTACATCAGGCAAATACCTGTGTTGCTAAGCACCCAGCCCCTCTGTTCCTTGCTGCATTGTTAAAGGAAAGCATGGGCCAAGGGGCCAGAATTGGGTACTA